TCAACTTATTTTGAATTGGATGGAGGATTTTATCGTGAGCTGACATCAGTTAGAGAACCACTGGAAGTACTGGACCGGTAGATTCTTTATGGGTTTCTAGATTTAATAAGCATGGTGCTGTAAATTTTTGTAGATTTTCGAAACTGTTGATTGAGAATTCCTGAAATGTGTTACAGCACACCTGTAACTGTACATGATTTCCAAAGAGTTCAAATTGGCTATGAAATACTGATATTTCTAGTTGTCTGCCTGCTGTACCTAATACACTTGAGTATAATTCTTGTTACACTCCTGTATGTTGATAAGGTTCTGGTATAGTCTCCAATGTATAAAAAGTTAATTACCGTCTACTGGGAATCTCTATTACATATGTTAGGGCTGTTTTAAAAACCCGATTTAGATGTAGAGGACGTCAATCCGTATAATCTCATTAGGCTTTAGTTGTTTATATTTTGGTGACATATTAGACGTATATTTTCACTTAAAACGAAGACTTAATATGATTGAAATTCATGCTGTTCACAAGTATTACTCAAATTCAAAATCTTGATCTGTCTTTTATCTAACTAGATTTCCTCGTTGGAAGTTGTTACAACTGCTAGTGTGCTTTGTTATGTAATGAATTAAGTTTTTTGTGTGTTTAGAAGGCGTAGCTGAACACTACGTAATTCACTTCATCGATCGCTTATCAATGAGACTGAACATTCAACTTTTGAAGGTTCTCTTGACCGAAATGTTGATCCTTATGATAATTTGTTGCCTGTTGGACAACAGAATAGCCATTTAGAGTCCTGAGTTCGTTGGTTGAAACTATTTTCTATCAAGTATTTAACATAGGCATACAGTTAAGTGATATCACACTGTTGAGGATTGGCTGATATCAGATGCTCACCGATAAGGCTCACTTGAAAGGAAAACCTTGACAAACAAACGCAAAACAAAGGTTTTCTGAAATAGTTTGTCAGTAGTCAATAACTAGACCAAATTTAAATTCCCTTTCATTTATATGTTATGGTGATCAAAAGAATTAATGTTTGTGTTAAGTTTGAAAGTTTTTAAAAGTGAATAAACACACTGAAGTAGATTTACTACCTCTTCCAAATGTAGTGAAAATAAATTAAAGACTTCTGTCTGATTAACTGAGATTCACTCGGGAGTAAACATCGTAGTTTCACTTCTAGCTTCTAAGACCTTTGTTTAAGTCTCCTGAAGCTTTTGTCGTTTTCATACTGTCAATTATTAGCAAACGCCAAGGTATACAAATGTACTAGTTTTCATTTTTATGTAAAATGTTGGTGAAGCTTTAAGAATTAATCGATGAATTTTTGCAGTTAGAGATGCCAAGGACATGTTCTACGCATGTCAGGCCATTTCCCTCCTCAACTAGGTTCGTTGGAAACGAATTAGCGATGTAGTCTGACCAAAACACGATATTAATCCAAGAAGGCTTTGACTACTGGAATCAATCTGGTTGGTGTCCTCAAAACACTAAGAATCAATGAATGACTCGAAATCTTTAACACTGAGGTAGGAGTACTCAGTATCTTTTATGATCGAGATTCCGAAAATCCTTACTATGCTTTATATAATTACTAATTAATATTAGCCCAGGTTGACTGTATTTCTTTTACTACCTTTATGTGTATCTTTATGAATTGGGGCAACTTGGACTGTATTGAAAACTGAGTTTGGTTCAGTTTCAGGGTTACACTTTTATCATACGTATCATGAAGGCTAGGGTGGCATATATCAAATTGAGCCACCTCTAGCACCGTCGCCACCTTAGCCTGGCTGTCAAAGGTTGGGTATACAGTGCTTTGGTGGGGCTGTCTTGCTGTACGCCTGTGAAACCTGTTCTCTCCAAGCTGATGATGTGTGGCGGCTCTGTGTATTCGACCATCGCTATCTCCACAGAATTTCTTGCGTTCAATGGCGCCATCGCGTGAGTAATTCTGAGGTTCGGTGGCGTGTGTTTGAACACAGTGGAAGTCATCATTTGTTCAGTGTTGTCATCTGTAAACACCGGTTTCGGTGGCCTGGACATGTGCTGCGAATGTCATCCCAGAGGCTTCCGTACAGGTCCCTGTTCTCTAGGGAAAAGTCGGAGTGGTGGTCAGTCCATGACACGGTGTCGTGGGATGAAGGATATTTGTGCTAGGTTAGCATTTCGTTGTTGTGTCACGACTGTTTACCTTCCAGATGAATTTCTTTATCCGTCCTTCACCTATATTTTTACTTTTAATCTATGTTGTTTTATTACTATTGTGTGGCGCATCTTTCTTGGTGCCATATTGTACCAAGTTTTTTCGCGTTTAAATAATAATAATCATTACTTGGATAGCTACGCTTTTGTACAAAATTCTGCGCTGAAAATTGAGTTCGGTTCAGTTTCAGGTTTACACTTTTATCACACGTTATTAGTAGTGTTACTATCACCTATTACGTTAAAACGTTTCATATCCCCCTTCTATTTCACTTTATTTTAAATTATGGATGAGGCATAAAATCATATCGTATTCACTAAGTATCTGTCCTAGTATACCTCACCTCTTAAACCATATTTATGAATTCTAGCAAACCGTTTCTCAAAAATAACTTCATTCTACATATCTTTTTGATTGGAAGAACGAGAGTAGAATCATTCGAGTTTTCCTGTACAAAACTTGTTTCTCATTCATTAGCTGGTTTGGATTTTATTGAGGACAATGAGACGTTGGCCAAATTATTATTCAAGTGTTGGTTTGTAGGGATTTGATTGGTTTCAGGATTTCATCATGAGCTGACATTAGTTAGAGAATCATTAGAAAACCCGGAAGTACTAGACAGCTGTTTCGTCCTAGTTTTGGGACTCTTCAGCAGTACGCACTCACCGGGATTCGAACCCAGGACCTTCCGGTCGTGAATTGGCAGAAGTTAGAATTCAAGGACCATTGGATCGGGTCCCAGTGGCTTAATGGTCTACGAGCTCGCCTTGTAACCAGAAGGTCCTGGGTTCGAATGCTGGTGGGTGCGTACTGCTGAAGAGTCCCAAACTAGGACGAAACAGCTGTCCAGTACTCCCAGGTTTTCCAATGGTTCTCTAACTAATGTCAGCTCATGATGAAATCCTGAAACCAAATTATTATTGTTATTCTCTTAGGTTCTGAGTAAAACAAAGGGCCTCGACTGCATATCTCCATTCCACTGTATTTTTTCTGTTCGCTTTAGCGGGCTCCACGATTGCCCATAAGGTTTTATCTCATATGATCGCCTCCACGACAGCTAGCTGTTTCCTATTCGAGTTCTACTCGAGAACCTGCCTGGAACGTTATGTCACTCAGTGGTCTTCTTAGCGTTTGTTCAATTCATCTTCACTTCCTTCAGCATAGGTGCTCAGCGGTAGATAATTGATTAGTTCGTTGTCAGAGTTCTTTGTTCGCTAGTCCTTTTCAACTGTCCATATGATCCTCAGTATGCAGTGAGGACAACTGTTGATGGCAGCCTAAAGTTGGCTGTTGGGAATGCTTTTAGTTACGCGCCAAATCTCTGGACTGTATAGAAGCACTGACTGGATATTATGGTTGAAAAACAGTATTGTTTTCCTCATACTGACTGTCTCTGACATTAACGTCGACGCCATCCGTAGTTTATAATGATTTTGTCTTGGTAAATGGAAGAAGTGACTTCTTTCAAATTTCTCCCGTAGGGGCTTGTCGTTGTTGTTGGTGATGGTGGTTAGGTGTCTTCATCACCTTCACTAATACTTGAGCTCAAAGAACCATTAATTATGAACACTGTTATAAAATATCTAAATTTCATTTATACAATACCTGACATGATTATTTTTCAGTCTGATGACTAACATTCAGAGACACCGATAAGTGTATGTGCAGCTAAATTTTGAAGTTCCTTGTTCAGTAGAAGAAAAATAAACAGGCGAGCTATCTGAAATATCTGTCGGAATCTATCCTCAAATGAATATTAAGCACTTCACACTGAAATAAGTGCTGTCGCTTATAAGGTTATTGAAAAAGTCGTGAATAAACCAACCAGCTCAGAGAACATAACCACATCGCTTATTCGGTACAATTAGTCCTACCCCTTAGATTTGACTACTCGTTTTTGATAACATTTAGTACACTTTTACTTTTTAGTAGTTTGTTCTAGACTAAAGATGATCTGTTCACAGTTACTGCCGGCAGGAAACTTACCCAGTACCTTATATTCAGATGATCAAGGTCTCTAAAGCAATGGAAGCCGAAACCCTTATATGATGATAGCCCTGTTCCTGTACAGCCAGTTACATAGGCCGTACAATTAGGCGTGTTTCTCGTCAGATTTCCGAACATCACCCTGAATAGTGGTTAAGCAAAGAACAAACAAAATCCATTCGTAGCGCTATTCTATCTCATCTTGTGGATACAGAACACAGGATTGATGTCAACGAGGCTTTCAAAGTCACTTACCGCACATACTAACAAATCTTAACTTCGCCTTAAGAGTTCGATTACTAAATATTGCTGAGGCTGTTGGGTTCCACATTAAGAAGCCTAACTTATGCCTCCGAAAGAAGCTAGTTCAGACATTATCCTTACCCTACTGGCCATCTAGGTATGAATGATCCTCAATTTTTGTGAAAATTTCCCTAATTATAGTTGATATTCTATTTGCTGTTATATCTTTATTATTATTAGTAGTAGTAGTATAATTTATGCATCTTTAATGAACTGTAATTCCATTGATCTTATTTAAAAAACTCCAATATTGTCATTGACTACTATTCTGGAATATTCTATGTATATAAACATAGATATAATTGTAGAGCCAGAAGAGGAAATTATCGAAAAGGATATTCTTTGCTCAATTATTTTGTGTTTTATAGATGTCTGAATGAATATTTTTGCTATATTGCGATATTTTATTGATTAAATGAATACATATATTTAATATCACCTCTAGTGAAAAAATCGGATTCACGCTTCTAGTTTAGAGGGAATGATTCTCATTGTAGTAAGACTTACCAATTTTCCTATGCCAACCTTGAACTGCATTAAAGTGTTGGTCATCATTTCGGTTGCTAATCTGATTCACGGAATTTACTTCAGATATATTGTGCGTTTGTGATAATCCTAAACGTTGTTGTAAAATTTGATCAAAATGATTTAAAGGATTTGATTCAGTAAAATAAGTGTTTGTCTTCACATTATTTGTAATATGTTCTAATTGTGAAAAAAATGGATATGAATTTGTTTGCAATTTTCTAGGACTCAACTGTGAATGTTCAAATAATAATGGATTTCCATTTGAACTACTATCACCGAAATAAGTAGTAGGATTTTGTAGAGATAAATTATTTGCAGGGTTTGATTCAAGTTTAGGGCAGTTTAAACAATCTGGACTGTCTGTCTGCGGTGTTAATTCTAGCCGTTGTGTATATGAATTAATATTAGAATTAAGATTATTGATTTTACGATATGCACTTTCATCACTAACAGCAAGTTTCGTAGAATTCTCTGTTGTTAAGACTGTATTTTTTGCAAAAGATGAACTGTTGATTGATAAACGAAATGAAGCTCCAGACTTTTTTCGTTTTTTCCATTTGGCTCGACGATTTTGAAACCATACCTGAAGATAAATTTCAATTATGTTAAAACTACTAGTAATCAAATTGTGTGATACCTATAATAATTTAACAACTTAAAGTTTTATCATAGGATTTGTACAGGTCTCGATTAAATGCAATAGTTAGATTTCCGTCACCAAACAACATCATATAGGGCATTGAAAGCCAGAGACCACTGTTCAGCTGTATCGTCCTATCTTTGTATTCTTCAGCAGTCCACACCAGGATCGTACCCAGGACCTTTACCTTACTAGACCAAGCTCATTGACCATTCAGCCACTAGAGCAGGGATATAATGACCCTTGGATTCTAACTTTGTCAACGCGTGATTTAGCCTTCGATGAGCACCCACCTCACTGGTCAGACGAATTCCTTCTTCAGCTTCATGGAATTCATCCAGTAGCCATCATTTATTGAAATCAAAACTTCACTCATAATTAAAGAATCTAAATGAATATCCAAGTTTGCAATTAACAGTGTTCTCCGAGCTGGTTGGTTTAGTTGCGGAGCTTTCGTTGTCCTTCTGGACAACATCTTCGGTGCAGTATTTAGCATCAAGTGAAATGATTTGAATTTCTTCATGATATGGATATAGCACACAAACCAGTCAAATCGCTTCATTCGATATTATGCAAATCGAAAGATCCAACAGAAAAAGGAGATAAAATCATTACCATTTACAAAATAAACTGTATGAACTGTAACAAGCATTACATCGGCCAAAGTGGGCGTCCCCTTCGAATTAGAATCCAAGAACACAAATCAGCCGTGAAAAGACACGATATATGTTCTTTAGTATCAATGCATGTAGACAAATATGGACATCAGTTTGATTGGGAAAATGTCGAAATCTTAGACAGAGGAAACACCAGAATTGCAGTCAGGGAATTCCTAGAAGCCTGGTACTCAAACGAATATGCAATTAACATACACGTTAATATAGACGAAATATACCAACTAATAAAAAGTAAATCAGGTGACCAGAAAGTTTAAAATCCAAGTCAATAGAAAATGGTCAATACATATGTAAAGATGGTTACCAGGAGACGCAATTACATCACTCACGAAGAAAATTTAAATCATTTCACTTTATGCTAAATATTGCGCTGAAAGGGGATGTTGTCCAGAAGGACGACGAAAGCTCCGCAACTATAAACCAACCAGCTCAGAGAACACTATTAATTGCAAATCATCCACCTGAGCTACAAATTTTTTCTATTATTTGAATATCTAAGTATTGGTTTGTAGGAATTTGATTGATTGGTTACAGGATTTCATCATGAGTTGACATTGGTTAGAGAACCATTGGAAAACCTGAGAGTACTGGACACCTGTTTCGTCCTAGTCTGGGACTCTTCATGAGTACGCTATGTCGTGAATTGGCAGTAGTTAGAATTCCTTTGGCTGGCCATTGGATCGGGTCCCAGTGGCTAAATGGTCTACGAGCTAGTTCGCCTTGTAACCAGAATGTCCTGGGTTCGAACCCCAATGGGTGCATACTGATGAAGAGTCTCAAACTATGGCGAAACAGCTGGCTTTCCGGTACTCTCTGTTAATTTTTCAATGTTTCTCTAACTGATGTCGGCTCATGATGAAATCCTGGAACCAAATGAATATCATTAAAATACTCATTTGGTTTCTCTGCATGACTTTTTATATCACCTGAATGTGAGTGAAGTCAACATACATACATTTAAGTTCTAAAGCCCTCTTTGAATTGATAACGAGAAAATTTATCAGACAAGCTTTCTGCTTCACCCACTTTTTAAAAGATGTCATCTCGAGGGCATCGAAAGATTGATAACCATTCAATCTTGTCGAAGAATACAGAACAAAAATTAACTCTTAAAAGATAGTGATATTGTGAATTCTCGAGGATAATAAAACTTGTAGTTTTCCAACGATGAGCTCCTATGAACAAAAACAAGTAGATGGCCATCAAATAGAGCAATAAAAAAGTAATCAAGTTGTTGGAGATCAGCCAAACCTAACTCCGCCAATAATCAACTCGAAGAGATCAAAACATAGCTCACTAACAAGAAGGGAAAAAATCTAGACATTGTCGTTAAAGTTTTTAAATGCCTGACTCGTAATAACAGACCAGTCAAGGGGAATGCAAATAATCAAATGTCATTTCTTTAATTTATACTTGAGAAAATGCATTAAGCTAAATTCTTTAAGTAGTGGGATCTATTATGACACCTAGACTGACATTATTCCTAGCACTTCTAAACCATATCTCATATCTTTTGCTATCTGACTAGCCTCCTCAGCTTTGAACATCGTGAGAACTCTCCATATCCAGATAAAGACTTTTGTTTTCATCAGAAGAAGACATCGGCCGTCTGGCTTCCCGACGGTTATCATCATCCTGCATCATTCCGATTCCAGCAACGAATTATATTGATTTTCTGGCGTAGGATCATTATCTTCACATCCAAACTTCCTTCTTTTTCCGGGCTTAAGACCGGCTGGTAAGCTAGACGAAGTCAAACTTACATTATGATCTCTTTTATTAAAGATCAAATCTCAGTTGCTAATAAGGCATGTCTCCACGTGCCAATCAAGGAATAAATTGATAAAAATTGTCAGTATGTAGTAGATCAGAGTGCTGAAATAAGTTTTATTTGAGCCAGTAACGAAAAGTTGAAAATGTACAAGAAGATATATTTACAGAATTTATTTTAATCAACATTAATATTAGACTGTCCACAGAAAATGTCAGAAGAAACACGACTGTATTTCAAAATGAGGGATACTCCATTAGTTTGTCAATTTTATTTCTTGGTTAAAATCTTTATGATCCCAGTGGAACATCAAACTTTACGCTTTAGCAGTGGTGTTTTAACGCCGTGGTGTTGCTAGCCTCACACCTAACCCTCCCTGTCTACCGTGCTTACTACTGGCTAAGCGGCGTTTGGGAGTACATCGGCTTGGGATAGAACCCCTACACATTTGATTGGCTGGAGGGTATTCTAACACTAACGCACGTGTATTTGCCTATACTACTGTAAGAATGCTTTTATCTCTTCTTTACATGTAATATTCCAAAAGATCGCCAAGAATTTGTGGAGTCCTTTCACCATTTTAATTCGTGTACACTTTTTACACTATATAAGACTGTCTGACTGATTTTTATAATTTCAAAGATAGTTTTTTTCCCTTTCCTGATATTCAATTCTACACATTTTCCTACTCAATGATGTCAATCCTTAAGTAAGGGCGAGTGGGGTGTTGCTAAAGCAACTCGTTCGTACTATTTTAGATAGGTCCGTCACTGAATCGTTATTGATTCAAATCAACACCAAACACGTGCAATAGAAAATAATGCAATGCCCGATAAGGTTTGAGAGAAATGACGCTGTGTGAATACACTGATATGATGATGAGCAATAAAATGTGCTCGACACATGATCCAGTAATCAAAACAATAAAGACTGTGTGTTATACTAAACAGAATGGAATTCTCGGCATTTGTCACAATATTGCATCTGATTTACTTAAAACATGCATAAAATTAAAAATTAAAACGAAAGTAACCAGAGGAATTTGTCCACATTTACGATATAAAGTGAAAATATTCGAAGTACAAATGAGAATATTAAATAAAATAATAATAACAGTGAGTTTGTTTCAAACAATATTGTCGATTCAGTTAGGAAATTTTGGCATGTTATAGATTATTGAATCTAATGTTCGGTTGATATAGTATTGTGAGGGGAAATACAAAATTAACAGTTATTAACACAGCTTGAATTATGTTCACACTTATGAAAAAATAAATAAAAACAAAAACTTGAGAGGATTATTCATATAAGAGGAACAATAACAATAAAGGCTGATGTTGTAAGGGTGGAGGAAATGGTATATTTAGTAGTACAAAGAAGGTTAGTTCATGCCTGACACTATTTTCATCACATAAAGTACGTGCTGTCAAATATAGTATAGTGGAATTTTTATACTTAGACGTACGTGCATAAAGTCTTCTGAAAAGATTTCTTGTTTTACCTGAGGAAAAACAAGGTTGGAGCTGAGGGTAAAGTGGGTCCTTACAGTCTGACAAAATTCCTTTAGCAAATTTGTTGCATGACATCAAGTGCCTTTCAGTGACAATGTCAACAATATGGCCCAATGGGATACCACTCGCCCTACTGACAGTCTTCAGAGTTCTACGAAGTATTACATAGTATTTATTAATCAACCCACGAAAGAATAAGGGTGAACAGTAAAGAAGAATAGGTAAGATACACGAGTTGACAAACTGTAAGAGGAGGAGGGGTTGGGTTATGCCTGAGTGCCTCAACTTCTTCATGTAAAAAGTCAGATGAAATATTCTTCTAGAAACCGCTAAGACATAGGAAGACCAGGACAGGTCAGAAGAAAATATTATTTCCAAGATACTTAACTTCATGCCATTGGGATCTAGAAGTGTCTATACGACAACGTACCCGTGCTTTTTGCAACCTTCTACTCCTACATCAATTTCTGATGTTGGCATGAGTGGATAACACTGTTGGAGCGACTGTCATCCACTGTCTTTTGTTTTCATGGATTCATCTAAGCGATGTCAATTCATAATAATTAAATCTATCTTATAGTTGAAATCCCTCCACAAACACACACTTAATACACATTCACATTACTCTCCATCTGGCCTACTTACTCTCAGTAAATATTTTGACTTTTAACTGATTAAAAATGCCCATTAAAATTTTTCAAAAGAATGGATACTGAACAAAGAGTACTCTTTTCGATATCTTCATCATCAGGCTCTACAATTATATATATACATTATAGTGAATCATTGAGTTAGTGTTATGAACAACATTCATGTTGTTTAAATAACATCGAATCAATAATATTGACAGATTGCAGCTCAGTAGCATCAACATAAAATAAGCTGAGTGTCAGAAGAATTAGGAAAGATAATATTACAACTTCATGGATTTACAGTCTCTACTGAATGCCGGCCAGGGCAGTAGTAGGAGCTGGACTTGCTTCT